AGGTATCTAGTAATTAATTAATATTTAATAAGCTTAGTAAGTAGATATAGTTATTAGATAATAAGCTTCCCCCCTTAGGAGCTATAGCTATAGCCAGACTATTTATATATCTAGCTATATAAATAGCTCCTATTATTAGAGTTTTTAAGGTATTAATATCTATACCCAGGCTAAAAGTATAATATCTGACTTTATCTTATAGAGTTAAAGGTTTAGATATAGATTACTAATTATATTCTTAAAAAAATTATATAATCTAGTTATATATTACCTGATCTTAGGATATACTCTTATTTATAGTAAAACTAATAAAAAAAAAATATATATATATAAAAAGACTTTATATTATAAATAAATTATATATTATATCTAATCTCAGAATAATCTTACTTATAGCTAAAAAAAAACTAAAAAAAAATATAAAATTATTTTTTTAATTTTAGAATAATATTATTTATAATATAAATTAAATATTCTATTTTATATTTTAAATATTATTTTATTAATTTTATTTAATTTTATTTTTTATTCTAATAAACTTTTTAATAATTTAATTTAATTTAATTTAATTCTCTTCTATTTATTATTATTAATTAAAATAAATATTAAATTTAAAAATTTATTTTAATCTAGATTAATTTAATCTAGTATATTACTTACTAAAACTATATATAATAATTTAGATTATAATACTAATTAAATACTAGAGAAATATTATTATAATTCTCTATAAATATATTAATAATTAGATTTATTTCTATATTATTACTAATTATAAAAAAATAAAATAATAGTTTTTATTAATAATAACTATTATATATATAAAAATCTATATTATATAAACTATATTTAGTCTTTATTAGTATATAGTAACTTTATAAGTTATTATAATTTTCTTTAAATAATCTATAGTAATATTAGATTAATTAATCTATTATATTCTAAATACTATTATATTAATCTTATTTAATTTAATTTTTCTATTTAATAAACTTTTTAATAATTTAATTTAATTTAATTTAATTTTCTTCTACTTAATATTATTAACTAAAATAAATATTAAATTTAAAGAGCTATTTTAATCTAAATTAATTTAATTTAGTATATTATCTATTAGAACTATATATAATAACTTAGATTATAATAATAATTAAATACTAGAGAAATATTATTATAGTTCTCTATAAGTATATTAATAATTAGATTTATCTCTATATTATTATTAGCTATAAGAAGATAGAGTAATAATTCTAATAGATATAACTACTAGGTCTATATAAGAGAGAGTAGCTTTATTATTATAAATAAACTTATAATAGATTATAGATTTAAATAATTAATATCTAAAAAGAGATTCTAATAGTTCTTATTAATAATAACTATTATATATATAAAGATCTAATTATTTATAATAATTAGATCCTAGCTATAGGGGATAATAATATTAGAGATATCTATTATTATTATAAGAAGAGATAGTTAGTAATAGTAATAATAAGCTTAGAGAGATATTATAATTAATTATAGATAATAAGTATTCTCTTTTAGGATCTATAGCTAAGTTATATACTTAGTAAGCTCTTTTTAGAGTTTTTAGAGATATTATTATTTTATTTTAGCTTATATAAATAAAAAAGTAAAAAAAATAGAATTAAAAATTAAATATAAACTAAAACTTAGTTAAAAATATATTATATAGAGCTAGTTATATATAGCTTAATTTTAGAATATCTCTTATATATAATAAAAACCCTTAAAAAAATATAAAAATCTAATTATTTATAATAATTAAACTCTAGTTATAGAGAATAATAATATTAAAGATATTTATTATTATTATAAGAAAAAATAATTAGTAATTAATAATAATAAGTTTAAAGAGATATTATAGTTAATTATAAATAATAATTATTTCTTCTTAGAATTTATAATTAAATTATATATTTAATAAGCTCTTTTTAGAGTTTTTAAAATATTATTATTTTACTTTATTTTATATAAATAAAAAAGTAAAAAAAAAAATTAAATATAAATTAAAATTTAATTAAAAATAAATTATATAAATCTAATTATATATAGCTTAATCTTAAAATATCTTTTATATATAGTAAAAACTTCTAAATATATATATATATATATCTTAAAATAGTAAAAAATTAAGATAATTATATTAATTTTAACTAGATATAGTATATAAATTCTGTTCTATAGTTTAATAAGTAAAAATTATATTCTTACTATTATAAAGTAAAGTTTTCCAGTCTTCTGAATCAGACCCTATTTAAGTAAATTTAATTATACTACTACTTAGTATTAAGATTATTTCATACTCTAAACACTATATATTCTAGTCCTCTCTTCCCACTGCTTGATCTTCACCTCTACATCGACACTCTTCTTTATCAATATTCGCTTATTACTTGCTACACACAATGACTGGGAATCTCTATTCCGTTCCCAACCGCCCTGCGCATCTCCAGCCGCATGGTGCCTCACGCAACAGCCGATCTGGAACTGATGCCGATGCCCTTGAGCGGTTCAAAATTAGAGAGATCTGTGAGGGATACCCGTTATACCGGGATGTCTCCGAATGGGAAAATTTCCGATCCCTCTTCCACGACGACGCGTATGTTGCCACGTCTATGTCTGAGGGCCGCATCGTCGATCACATTGCATTGATGCAAGGCCACAAGGAAAACTTCCCGTTCTACGTCATACATCACGTTCTTGGCCAATCAGTCGAAGTACAGAACAATCGTGCTGCGAGTCAGATGAAGGTATTCATCGTCATTCGCCAGGACATTGACGGCGTGGAAGTGGATTGCGAAGTTGCAGCTCGCATGTTCTTTCTTCTCGAGAAAAGAAGCGGACACTGGGGAATCTCTTTCTTTACTGTTCTTTACGAATCGGACAAGGTGATCCCCGTCAATCCATCCAATGGCAGCGTCGATATTCCCGAGGAAGAGACAAGACAATTTCCATCGTAAGCAGATTCCCTTTCCCCATACTATAGTTCAGGAACTGATCTGTTCATAATGCAAAGTGGATATCGATACCTTTGCTGGTGTGAGGCAAAACTGGGATTCAAGCCCAAGCTGGATCTCAATAGCCATGGACCGGAGCGCGACATCCTTTATGCCAAGGTCAAGGATTGGTTAGAAGGGAGAAAAGTCCAACCTAACTTGACTGGCACTGATACTGTTGATTTCTGAAGCATATAGCTACTACTTGGAGGAAGTCATCGTGCTTGGCTGAGCTGAGTCTCGATGCATTGTTCAAACAGGTTGGCACTATCATTTATAGCCTAGTTCCTTGCCACAGCGCGAGAGCCCATCTCGTAGCTAGCATCAAATCACCAGTTATTTTCTCCCCATACCTCAGCATGTCCAAAGTAGCTTGGGATTTAATCGCCGAAGTTGGGTTGCAAGGGCCAGGGTATAGCTGGCTGCACTTTGAGGAAGCAAGGATCAACTGCAACTAAGCGTGGAGTGTATATATTGGATGTAAATGATACATACACTCAGCTAGGTAATTTCAAGACTCGATCCATATGTTCACTCTTATCATAATCTTGCGCCCTGGTCTATTACATCCCCACCTCCACGACATTTAACAGCACAACAGGATAGCGAGTTACGCGAGTAACGTTCTTCCACTATACTTATTGCCTAACTAAGCACGAAGCCACCCGTTACAGGGATCCATGCACCATTAATCCAACCCGATCTGTCCTCGCACAGCACAGCGACAGCGTACGCAACCTCATCCGGTTTGCCCAGCCGTTTAGCCACCGGTGTATTCTGAATGACGGGGATCAGATCGTCCTGCACTTCCTTAGGAGTTGCGAGCAGGGACTCCGTTTCGATTGGCCCCGGGGCTACCGCATTGACGGTACAGCCATACTTCGGCGGAAGATCTTTGGCCCAGCACCGTGTAAAACTGTCGATTATGCCCTTGGAGCCAGCATAGATGCTCTGTTTTGGACCTGCAGCACGGGTAATACCGCTGGTGATGTTGATGATGCGCGAGTTTTGGTGATTAAGGTACGGCAAGCACGCCCTGGTGAGCAGTAAGGTCCCACGACCGTTCAAATTGATGCTTTTGTCCCAGATCTCTGCAAAAACCTTGTCGTCTGGCTCATCGAGCTCAGAGGTAAGGACGACACCAGCATTGTTGACCAAAATGTCGATCTTGCCAAAAGCTTCCTTCACTGCTTTGGCTAGCAGTTTTGGTCCTTCGAAAGTTGACAAGTCCGCTTCGACGGTGATCGCTGTGGCTTCTGGGCCAAGGCTCTTCAAAACCGTGTCTGCATTCTCTTTTTCGCCTGGGAAGGGATAATTGATGGCGACAGTGGCCCCTCGGGCTGATAACTCCTTGGCTATCGCAGCCCCGATACCCGCGGACGATCCGCTCACAACTGCAACCTTTCCCTTTAGAGACATGGCGATTGCAAGTTTTCTAGGGCAGTCAGTAATCGCTGATAGAGGCAGGCGATTGAGATAAGCTGACTCTGAGGAAATTTTGCTGCGAAATGCTTCAATGCAGGGACAACCTTGTTGTTGCTCGAATGATAAATAAATGTCTTGCTCGCAGTTAGTGAGTGGCTCGTCAGTAAGGTAGCCAGAGTGGCTCCTGTACCCCATGGGTGGCAACCTGAATAACTAACCTTTTACAGCAAACGATCCTGTTTGGGAAAGCACAGTCCCACTTGACCATCGATATACCACACTCATTCCAGGCACTCAAATTGTTAAGATCAACAGCCCAGCCCTCGAGGTAGTACCGTACCTGCTTATAGGTAGCAGCTATTCTGACTACCTTATCTGGCATATATGGGCCTTACTATTGCGTGATTATAACTAAGAGTAGATAGTGCTTAAAATAAAATAAAAATAACCACTAGTTAAAATTATAAATAAATAAAGTAAAAACAAATATATTATTTTTTATTATAACTAGCTCTCTATAGCTATATTAAGGTTTTAGATATTATAATTACTTTTTTAAGCTTATTTAATAGTATATAATAAATTAGTTAAAGCTATTAAACTATTAAATTATAAAACGAATAATAGAGTATTTATTAAGGATTATAAATAGCTAGTTATAGAGCTAAAACTTACTCCTAGTAGTTTTCTTATATATTATATATATTATATAGCTTTCTTAACCTTTTTTAAATAATATAAGAGGTCTTTATCTATAGCTACTTATATCACCGTTTAACCTAGGAAATGCGGTGCTTTTAGCTGTTTTAAGCTGTCTTAACCTGAACTACATAATGCTGTGGTTCAACACCTACATATATAACCATTCCGTATATTCATCCCTCTAGCATCCGTTTACTACCACTTCACCACTCGTCTTAGTTTTACTTATATCCGCTGTTTCACTATACTCCCGGGACCACACTGCCCAATGCGCCGCGCCGTCAACTCCAATGACATTGACCAGCTCCGCTCCCTCCTTAGGGACACAGATGCGCTGATCAGCGAGCCGCACGACGAGACCTATAAAGAATCAGTCAAGAGATGGTCTGCCGCTGCTGAGAAGGCAGCTGGTGTAGCTGTTGTACCTACAGGTGCCTCACAAATCTCAACCATCCTTCGATACGCCGCAGCCAACAAAATTGACCTAGCTGTGCGGGGTGGTGGCCATTCCACGTCGGGGTCTAGCAGCACCGACGGCGGTCTGCTCATCGACCTTCGCGCCATCCGCCATGTGCAGGTCGATGCAGCCAATATAAGCGTTAAAGTTGGTGGTGGCGCCACTTGGGCCGACGTGGATTCAGAGACAGTGAAGTACGGGTTTGCCGCCCTTGGTGGCACGATATCTGACACCGGTGTCGGTGGCTTGACTCTGGGGGGTGGGTATGGCTGGCTTTCTGGGGCACACGGCCTCGTCATTGACAACCTTTTGAGTGCCACAGTGGTGCTTCCTAGTGGTGGCATCGTACGGGCTTCCGAAAATGAGAATCAAAACCTATTCTGGGGTCTACGCGGTGCTGGCCACAACTTTGGTGTTGTGGTCGAGTTTGAGTTCAAGCTACATCCCCAAGGCAACCTCTGGACTGGCACTCTCGCATTTCCACCTTCTCCGCCAGTTGTGCACAAGCTTGTCGAGGCAATAAATGACCTGTATCGCCCGAGGACCCCGGAAGGGAGGACCAAATATGCCGGCCGCGCAGCCAGCGTCATCAATATTCTTCGTCCATCCGACGCTGGTGGCAAGGTCGCCCTGGCTGCCGCAATCATGTTCAACGGCACTGAAGAAGAAGGCAGGCAGGCTTTCAAGATGTTCTATGATATTGGGCCTGTCATGGAATCCGTCAGCTCGGTGCCTTACGACATCGCGAATCAGACCCTGTCGGCTCCTCCCGGTTTTCGAGTCAGTATGAAGGGAGCCGCCTGGGCTCTGCCACTTGAAACTGGTCTCCTGCAGGAACTCATCGACTCGTATACCCTTTTCACCGAGTCAATTCCGGATATGGAAAGCAGTATGATCTTACTCGAGTGCTATGATCCTTACGTCGTTGCGACTGGCGCTACAAACAGCGACATGAGCTTTGCAAATCGGGGATGGCATATGAACGCAAGCATCCAGCCTTCCTGGACCAAACAAGAATTCGACACCGAAGGGAGAAAGTGGGCCAGGGATACTACTGCCCTGTTTGACAAGTGGTTTGAAAAGACTGGGAGACCTAGCAGATCCGGCGACTATGGCGCCGTATTGGCATATGGCAACTATGATCGTGAGTCTCACTCTGCTGACCAGAAAGTGGTCCTAGACTAACCGACTTTCCTCCCTGCAGACTACGACCAAAAGAATTCCCGAGATATCTTTGGTCAGAACTATACGCGGCTACAGGAGCTCAAGGCTAAGTATGACCCAGATGATATGTTCAACAAGTTATTCGCCGTCCAGAGAAAGGAGTGAGACATGTTGTTGTTTCTACTATTTGGTCAATGAGTCGGATCTATCGTGCCAAGTTGGAATGTGTGGACACAACTACCAGTAATTCATTGGATAAATTGGACAAGAAATTCACTGTTGGAAGCCAAGAGAGCGTTGTGTAAGGACTGTGTTTCGGTCCGCTGGCGGTGCTGAGACTAATTGACCTAGTGTTGAGATATCTAACCACATTGCTCATACCGGCCTGGCCATTCGGCTATTCATTTTTGGTGTCATCTTTGGTTATGTAATGGACCCTTGGCTGAAGCCGGTTCGAGATTGAATAGCGGCGCTTTTGGACCCAGATAAAGCCCTTTATCCTTGCGTTCCTGATCGAGTGTCCCACTCCTCACATGTCATTCAAAGCACCGTGTGTAGAACAAGGTGACTGGTACGGGAGGATGTGCTATTTCAAGATACGAGATTTAATTTCTCCACCAAAGCTTCTAATTTGGACGAAACTACTGGTGGCCCTAGAATTTCACAAAGTCAGCGTGCAATCTCATCGAAACAAAGCCTAGCTGCGTACATTTCCAGACTGAGGTGTCCCGTAGAATCATTGAGCTAGCCAGTAGCGGTATAGCGGAAGTTGTCTGCTTGTAGTCCGAAACCTGTTGGGACTCAACTTCTGTAATTCCTTCGCTGATGAGGGCGTCTAGCGGCGACTGTGAACTCGTCATTGGGCTATGTGAGGGTCTCGTTTGGAGATAGCAGCACAGAATGAGACCTGTGCGTTTGTGTCAGCCCTCTTCTCAACTAGGTCTCTTGGATACAATTAGTGCTATCCGATCATACCTCTTTCAAAGACCGCCGTGGTCGACACGGGTCCGAAATGAGAAGCATCGAGGCTCCCCAGATATTGTAGCCCCTGACGTGTCTCTTCCAGGAAGACTTCTGCCGCTCGTTTGAGGGCCTTGTCAAAATTGTTTGTTGATAATGCTCGTAGGAGCTGGTTGAAGCTTTCCGAGTCCACCAGGATGTCTGGACAACCCAAAAGTTCTTTCATAATGGACAACTGGCTTGACCCGTACAGATGGTAGTAAATGGAGTCAAGCAAAGCTCTCGCTGTTTTGAGAAGCGGTGAGCGAGTGATGCCGTCCTCGCTCATGCATGCAGATGGACGCTTGCACAGCTCATCCAGAACTTGGACTGGCCCACTCATTTCGCTAACAAAGGCTGTCCATAGAAGCGGATGTCGAGAGCCAGTGAGTAGCTCAAAAGAGGAAACATGCGCAAGAAAAGTCGACACGATGGTTAGAAGTCCAAGGTCACTCAGGCTCAAGTCGTATCTTTTCCCAGTGTGGATGAGCCTCATAGTCTCGGAAATATCGGGTGCGTCAACGGGCTGTTCCCAGTCGCCCTCGTTCTTCATCCATACGCTAGTCATGGCAGGCAGTGTGAAATCGAAGTCCATACCCAGCATTTTGCAGTATTCTTCCTTCATGGTGGAATTTAGTGTTGCCCCAATGATAATCATGCCTGCTATGCATCTGTGGTCTTGATCAGAGTTCAGTCTGCAGCTACGATTTGACCTGTTGTACTTGCCTGACTGTACTCTCCAGACGCACCCAGTTCTTGTAATTCGATTTCGATAGACCTTTTATGGCACTGTAAGCTTCATGGGCGAGCTGAAAATAACATCTTAGTCCAGTGTGCCTAGGGGCCGGGGCATGGGACGAATACCTTGGCAGTCTCGGACAGCATGCTGATGGCTCTTTGGGGAACCTTCCAGTCGGCGTTGTATGCTTCGAAAAATGTCATTAAAAGGTTGGCCTGTAGCAACCACAGTTGTGTCTCGCTACCTCTCTTCCAGTGCTAAGTAAGATGTTAGCAATTATGGCTCGGCAACCGAACTCACAACGATGGAAAGGCACAAAGTCTGGCGAATGGGATAGGAATGCATCGAAAGCAGCGCGATTTTGTATCTGGCAATGAGCCAATCATTCGGAGAGCGGTATTTACCTCGGAAGAAAGTTGAAGGCCAACTCTATGTAACTTCTCTGCCGTCCGTCGTTCACGGGAATACATGGCGCCACACGCCATGATTTCGATGAGCAAAGGCGCTCCGGGAAAGTGTCAGTCAACAGCTATGTCATAGACTCAAAAAGGCTTACTCACTGGGCACCAAGGTGACATCGAACGTGGGAGGGTGTAAGACAGGGAATTGAGGAGCCATGTGCTTGAAAAATGCCCTTACGAATCGAATGACAGCATGCTTGGAAGGATATTGAAATTGCAGAAGTGCTCCACTTGGGTCAGACTCTACGAAATTAGCGACTACCTTCTTGTACTCATCATTCGTCAAGGTAAAGCAGCTCCGACTTGGTGAATCATGGGAATATGATATAGGCAAAACGGGAGGTGGATGCTCCACGAGAGCTGTCACAGGAGCATCTCGTTCCCAGTTAGGCAAGAACTCTGCCGGATTAAGGAAAGGGGTGGCTCCGCTGGCAAAAATACCCCAGGTATTTGGCATGGCGAGATCCGAAGCTGCGAGGAAGTCGAGAATTTCGTGATCCGGGAGGGTCATGCCGGATGATCCAGTATCCTCGTTAGAGCAGAGTTCTAGTTCTAAAAGTTGTGTTGCAGCTGGCACCGGGGGGCCATTTTCCAGATTTTTGACGCCTTCGGTAAGCAAAGCCTGCGATGCCGGCGTCTTGGGACCGTCACCGCTTTGTTCAGGATCGCCAGGAGACGAGAGTGCCCACAGAGTTGGGTCCGCCGAGGCCATTCTTGGGGAGGCCGATGGAGGCGTTGAGGCATTGACAGACGGTGCAACATGTTCGGCATCACTTATTGGTCCAAGATCGTCTTCAGCGTTCGCAGAAGCGATTTCCGGGTGGAAATTCCGCGTATGACGGAGGATTACGTCCTTGCGCGATGACGAGACTGGACACAGCTCGCATCTGTAAGGTTTCTCATTCTGATCTAGGGAGGCGGATGCAACAGTCAGTGTCGAGACCCCAGTGAATCGATAGGAAAAGAGAAAGGTACGGGTTTTATCATGACGCCTCAGATGGGCGACGCGCTTGAATGTCGCCTCGCAGTGTGTGCACGAGAATTTGCAGGTGGTGGGCTTTGACTGCTTCGTCCGGATACGGCCGCCGCTCGGGCGTTCCGACCTCGCCAAGAATGCTGTCATCATATCTCCTAATGCAATGGCCACGATCAGAAACCAGTTCGTACGCTGTCGGTTTCGAAGCTGAGATATGTTGTAGCGAAGTCTGCCGGGGAGCACGACGACGGTAGGAGGACATATGAAGGCCCCACTTCCCCCCTTTTTGAAAAGGCGGGGTAGAGCTAGTCCAGGGGGGCAATGGCCTGCTGGGATGAAATAGTTCTTAAAGTTAATAATAAAGTTTTATAACTATAAAAATATTAATATTGAAATATTCTATATAATTAAATCTTAGTAATAAATAAAAGTATTTAATTTTTTAATTTATTATATTTATTTAATTAAATATATTATATATTATTATTCTTTACTTTAAATATTAAATTTATTAAACTCTAGTTTTTTTCTCTAATTATTAATAGAGGAAAATCTTATAAAGAATAAAAACTTAATTCTATTTAATTATTATATAATACTATATAGAATTTAATATAACTTCTACTTTTTAATTTATTTTATAAATTTTTTTTTATTTCTATTCTAGCTTTTATTTATTAGTTAATATTAATAGTAATTTTTAATTTATATTTTATATAAATATAATATAGCTTTATTCTATATTTAGTACTTTTTATATTAGTTTATAAATTTTAAATAATAATTTTTATTAATTTTCTTATATTATATAGTATAACTAAGTATATATAAATAGATATTAAATTAATATTAAATCTATATTATTTCTAATAAAAATTTCCTATAATAATAAATATATATTATACTTATAAAAATAAATTAACTTATAATTTTAAAAGTAATTTTCTTTTTTATTTCTAAATATATATAATTCTAGATTAAACTAAAATAAACTCTAATATATTAATATTAAATCTAATCTAATCTAACTAATATTCTAATCTAAATATAACTAAATATAATATAAAGTTTAAATAATTAATTTTTAAAAGCTATTTCTATTCTTATTAATTAATATAGTATATAATATATTAAAACTATAAGCTATATATTAAACTATAGTAAGCTTATATAAGAGAATAGCTATTTTTAAAATATAATATTTATTTAAACTAATCTTAATTCTTTATATATATCTATAGTAACTACTAGTAATAGATTATATTATAAAATAATAAACTAAGTAGATATAGCTACTAGATTTATATTATTAAAAGTAGTTTTATTATTATAAATAAGCTTTTAACTAATTAGAGGAATATATAATAAATATAATTAATAAATAGCTATATTAGATTATTTTAAATAATAGTTATTATTATTTTAAGAGTTTTATTAATAATATTAAATAGATTTTAAGAGATTAGAATATTTATATTAAATATTATAGCTATTTAAGATATCTAGTAATTAATTAATTAAATAATTAATTAATTAAATAATTAATTAATTAAGATAAGGAAAAATAGTTATTATTATTAGATAATAAGCTTTTCTTCTCAGGGGTTATAACTATAATTAGACTATTTATATATCTAGCTATTATAACAGTTAGGTAACTTATACTGAACAGGGTCTAGGGTAGATTAGGGTTAAACTAATTAGAGTATTATTCTGAGTAGTATAATTAGATTATCTTAGAACTATATAATATAAATTACTATTAATATATAAGTATTATAGAGCTAGTAATAATAGATATATAGATAATTATATTAATAACTATCTAAAGAAGTATTCTACTTAATAAAAATAAATATATATATATAATAGTTATAGAGTATAAAAAGTATACTACTTTTAGTAATCTATTTTTATTTTATAATAGAAGTATAATACTTTTATTATTTCTATTCTTCTAATAGTAGAATATATATAACTATATAATCTATTATAGAGATCTTTATTTATAATATAATACTCTCTCTTTATTAGTTTTATTCTTAAGATTCTATATAATCTTAGTAAGTTCTTCTCTTTTTTATATATAATAATTATATTATAATATTTATTATATCTAACTATATAAGGAAAATAATATATTCTAAGATTTATAAATAAGTTCTTCTTACTATTATTATTTAAATATTTAATCTTCTAGCTAATATACTATATATTCTATATTTTAAAATAAAATAAAAATATTTTATTTTTCTAAATAAGAAGTTATTCTAATATAATAAGTATATATAAAATAGCTATTATTATAATAGAATACTAGTTATATCTAACTATATATATCTCCTTATATATCTTATTTATATTTTTCTAACTCTGTTTTTTTTAGTAGAAAAATTAATAATATAGTAGAAAAAATTAGTAGAAGAAGAATCTAATATAGATAGAAAGATCCTTTTTTTATATTAATAAATAACTTAATTCTAAAATAATCTATTTACTACCTTAGGGTATATTTAGTATATTTATAAGATATATAGATATATTAAGAGTAAGATATAGTAGGAAATTTAATATAGTCTCTAAGAGCTTAATAAGAAAGAGTAACTATTTTCTAATTAGGTTCTTAACTTTCTTAAAACTTCTAAGTAATATATCTTAGAGAAAGTCTAGTTCTTAGAGATTATCTCTAAAATAGATTTAAATTTATTAGGTTTTAAAAAGAATTTTTCTAATTTAGCTTCTTTTTTTTCTTCTAGTAGAACTAGTAAATTAAGTATTAGTATTTCTTTAGATATTTAATAAGTTCTTATATATTATTATTATTAGTATACTTTTTTTATTTAACTAAATAAAAGATTTATCTATTTCTAACTTCTTTCTTTAGAATTTTTTTAGATTTAAATTTCTCTTTATAAACTTTAATTAGATAATCTTAGTTAGATATATTTTTAAATACTTTTTTAAATAGTAAAATATAAAAAACTAAATAGATATATATTATATCTAATAATAATAGTTTATAGTTAGTATCTAACTTTTTCTTTAGAATTTTAAATAGTTTAAGTTTTTTATAGTCTAACTTATTACTTAGTCTTATTATTATAATATTTTTATAGAGTAAGTAGATCTTATCTCTCTCCTCTAAGATTAGTTCTTCTAATCTGTTTTTATTATAGTATTTTTTTATTCTTTATTAGATAAATTTAAGTTTTATTTTTATTTCTATATATAATAAATATAGTATTTCTTTTATAAGTATAATAGCTAGTATATTAGGTTTATTAAATTCTAATTAGTTCTAGAATTATAGTTTATAACTATAGTTAGTATATATAGATATTAGTTAGATAGATTTTTATACTAAGCTATTATAAGTAATCTATACTATTAATAATAATTATATCTAATTATTTTATTTATAATTAATATATACTTATAGATATTATTCTAGAGTTTAATTTAATTATTCTATTTAACTATTACTTTATAGATAATAAGCTATTAAAAGCTTATATTTAGTATCTATTTATACTATAAGTAATTATTAAAACTTAGAAATAAATATTATTCCTCTATCTAATATAATTTTATTAAATAATCTATAGTAACTAACTATATATTATAAAAACTAGTATATAAGATCTTTTATAGAGTTTATTTTCTTATATAGAATAAAGTATCTATACTTTATAAATCTATTAATAACTATTAGAATACTATTATATTCTACTTTAGTTATAGATTCTTTTAATAATAATAGTTTAATAATATAATTAAAGAATACTAATTATTATAATTATTCTAATATTAGAACTAGTTTAAGTTCTCTATAGGGTTTATATTATATAGATTTAATTCTTATATAAATATTATATTCTAAAACTATAATCTATATATTCTTTCTTAGATCTAGATAATTATATTTTTATCTAATTCTATTAAATATTTTCTTAACTTCTTAGTATTCTAAAAGTAAGTATTTATAGATTTTCTTAATAAGTATTATTTTAGTTTCTTACTATAGATTTTCTAAACTAGAAATAATCTCTATCTAGACTTTAATATATACTATTTCCTTAAGTATAATTTCTAGGGTTTTTTATACTAAGTATTCTTTATTATTAGTTAAGAATAGCTATCTATTTATTTTTAAAACTATTTTCTATTACGAACAAAGGCCTCTATAATAGGTTATACAGTTATATACACCCTACTATCTAAAGAATAGGAGTAATAGAAGTATTACGCTCCTATCGCGGGATAAAGATAGATTACCAGGAGCAGTATACTCCTTATACTCTATAACTATTATATATATATATTTATTTTATTAGCTAGA